TCAAAAGTATTTTCATTCTACGTATAATTACAAAACTCTTTTTTTTTTTTTCATTTGTAAGCAATTTAACTTGATAAATTAAAAAAAGAATAAATATGAGGTAATCTTTGTTAAGAACAAATTTAATTTATAAATTGAACTATATTTTTATTTTTAATTATATATCAACTTAATTAAAATATAGTAACATGTTAAAATATTTAAACATGACTTGTGTTATTTATAAACTGTTGAGCAGTTGCCCTTACGGCACCATTGTTTTTGGATAATATTTTATTTTGATGAAGATTACATAACTTACATTTGATTTTAATAACGTAAGTCTTCTCTTTTTCTGTGATCATCGCATCGGCAAAGCATTGGCAAAGTCCCAAGATTTAATAGTTTTTAAATTAAATCTTTTGTCCTTCAAAATACAATCTATATTCGAACTTTAAACAATTTAGAGAGAATAGAAATATACAAGTTTTTTATATACTAGTTTATTTTGTTTTATAAAGAAAAATACATATTCATTAGTAAAAAATGGAGACTGTCATTAAACTAAAATGTGCCTTATTATTTATTTAATGGAATCTGTAATGTGCGCGTGCATAATGAAACCTCCGTTATATAAATATATTCAACGTAATATTAGTTTCATCGGCAGATGTTGTAGTCTACTCGTGATTTCTTTACCTTATAATATAACTTGATTTATGAAAAAAACTTATTGAATCGCACGCAGAAGAAATTTAACAAATTGTCTTCATTCAAAAATTGCGAGTAAAATTTTTTCTGTGCCGACCCCCTCCCCCCGCATAAATTAAAGGTAAAGGTATCTATATACCTTTAACTAATAAGAAAAGCAAAAAGTAATAATTAACAAAGTAATTTTTAGAAAAATACAAATAGATTGTTCATTCATTGGCACATTTTTTTCTCGAAATCTCGATCATCTCGAAAAAATGTCTTGATATTTTTGTTATCATGATAACAAAAATATAATGACATTTTTTGAGATATTAAAAAAAATGTCATTCCTTAATTACAAATTTTTTTGCAAATGTTTTTTATTATAAATTCAGTAAAAAATTCTTAAAAAATTTATATTACAAAAAACATTTATATTCTGTATTAATAAATATGGAATATGGATTTTTTTAAAGTTTTTTACTGAAAACTTTGAAAAATTACTACTTTTTATTAAAAACATTGCAAATTGTAGTTAAGGATTGGCAAACAATTTTTCATGTTGCTAAATATTTAGATAAAAAATTTAGCGTCAAATTAATCGCTATAAAAAGGAAAGATATATCGCAATGAAAAGTTACAACAATTATTTTTAAAGTAAATGCTTTTTTTTAATAAATGTCTTTATATATCGTTATTTAGAAGTTAATGTGGTTTTTTTAAAAAATAATTACTTCTTTTATGTTACGGCTAATTTGAAAGTTAAAAAATGATAAAAAGTAGCTTAACCAAAACAGCTCTACGCATACGTAAAAATCGCTTAGGGCGTAGGTAAATCGCTCTATGCGTAACGATTTAAATTTATATTAATTTATATAAATATATATATATATATATAAATATATATATATATATATATATATATATATATATATATATATATATATATATATATATATATATATATATATATATATATATATATATATATATATATATATTGCTAGCGAGAAAGTTACAAAAAACAAAACAAAAACAATAAACTTACGACTACAAAAGTAATAACACTTTAGTCACTAACTGCATTATAAAAGTAATAAAACTATAATAGTGTTATTACATGTATAGCACTTATTACTTTTAAAGTTCATTCTTTGCTCAAACAACATTATTAATTCCAAACATTTATTAAAGTAGAAAAGCATCTAGAAAAAATAAAGCGGATATTCAAATATTATTAAAAATTTCAGGAACTTTCACATATCACTTAAATAACGTTATAAAAAAGTACTTTATAAAAAGTATAGCATTATGAAAAACATTTCGTAAAAACGCGCGTTAATTTTAAAATCAACCAATAAAAAATTTTTATTGGTTAATTTTAAAATTAAGGCGCGTTTTTACGGTCTATTAGCAATGTTTCTCATAATGCTAAACTTTTAATACAATACGTTTTCATAAAGTTGTCTGTCACGATTTTATAAGTTACTTTAGTTTTAATATTATTTGAACATCCACTTTATTTTTCTAGATATTTTTCTACTTCAATTAAAATTTGGGGATACTAATGTTGCTTGAACAAAGAATGGATTTTAAAAGTTATAAGTGCGTTATAAAAGTAATAACACTATTATAGTGTTATTACTTTTGTAATGCAGTTAGTGACTAGAATGTTCTTACTTTTGTAATCGTAAGTTTATTGTTTTTTTTATTTTTTCGCTAACAAATTTAATTTGATTCTCCCCTTATAAACAAGGAACACGGTTTTGTATAAACTAAAATTTTTAATGCTTGATATTTTTCCAGATTTTGCGTTTTGCATTCGCTT